TGGGGGTGGGGGGTGGGGGGCTAAAGGTTTCGTCTGCGTCGCTCTCCACAGCTAGGAGATTAATTTCATGTGCGTTATTTCTGTTGTAACTCCTTGGTTTGACATTTATTCATAATCATAAGACAGCTCTTAAGTTTTCCATCATAATTAATCAGTTAAGTTATTTAAGTAGCGGTCGGCCCTGTGAAGTTTATAACAGGCGAAAGGAGGGTTGGGGATTAAAAGCCCACGCACATGAACTTATTTTCCAAGAACAAATCTGAAATAAATTATAGGGAAAAAATAAGGGACTAACATGAAGATTTTAATTTGCTTGATTTATTTATTTTCCAGATGTCAGTCACTTCTACAGATCACACGAAGGACGTGGCTTCCGACGTCATTATTCGACCTGCCAAACTAGAAGACCTTGATGAATTGTACGAATTTACCGATAAAGTCGACTGGCGTGTGTCAAAAGAAACTTTGAAATTATTTCTTGAAATTGTGGAAGACGGTCACTACCTAGTTGCTGATCTCCATGGCAAGATTATTGGTCAGGACAAATCGAGCTTTTCTTTGTTGATCACTTGATTTCTTACTAAGACCCCATTTCCATAGATTTTAGATCGATCTATCCCTGTGGGGAGTCTCACTAGATTACTGTCAGCTTAGCTGGCTTAAGCGTCTGTCCCGCCTACTAAAAGTTGTAAGGGGGTAATTAACTATGGTGCGCGCTCGGCTGACTGCAATTTAGCGTGGACCCCCAAGGAGTTAGGTCGATCTAAATCTTAATCTCTGGATCGATCTAACTAAGTGTGTGTGTTTGTGTGTGTGTGTGTGTGTGTGTGTGTGTGTGTGTGTGTGAAAGAGAGAGAGAGAGAAATTCTAGACCATATCAAGGAAGATTAAATTGTCTTTGGAACTCTTGAGATTTAAAATAACATTTCCACCTCGTTTACAGCTGCCATAACTGATAATTAACTGTGTTATTTCTTTCACATGCACCCATTTTATAAATTTTCGCTGAAATAACAGTATTAGAGAAATAGGATAACAATAAGTAAAAAATAAAAAAAAGTGTTCGACTGATAGGGGCCTATTTCGATAACAGCATATGACGTCGCCCCATGTGTTTAACGGGACGGTTGGCAAAAAGCAGACTGGGAAAAAAGAAAATGTATTTTACAGCTCGCCGAGCTGCTCTTCTCCCCATGAAAGAACATAAAATATTATACTAGGCGTCGGCAGTAAAGGCGCTTATCTCTTTATCTGTACAAGTGACGGTTCTCAAGGACCCAGTGTTTCAAGTTGTTCGATAAGAAGGGAAAATGAAAAGATAAACGGTGCCGGTTTCAAAAAGACATTGTTAAATGAAAAGTGCACCGATTTAACAAGTAAAGACAGCTGTGTAGCTGACGGTAGCGGGGTATCCGCTTTAAAAAGGGTGTCTGCGTTTAAAGGTGTTTTATAGGGAAATATTTGCCTAAAATTTAGTTTTTCTATCAAATTCCCGCACTTCCTTCAAATATGGGCACATCTCGCATATATTCTGTTTTTTGGCAATAAAATGTAAACACAAGTTTCGGATCTGTGAGTCTCGGTGTGTGTTCGTCTAGAAATAGTCCTACGCCCGAGACATATTACAACTGACCTTTTACAAGACACGAAGAAAAAAAATCGGGTTCTCATGACATTTCTCTTACATGTAGAGAATAAAGAGAAGGGACCACTGTCAGAATGTATGTCCACAGATTTTGGCCTGAACCTAACTGTAAGTCAGAATTTATACAAAGATTGATCCAGCCACCCAAAATCATAACATTATTCTGCGTATGTTATTTCAGGTTCAAGATTAGTTATTATACTGGATGATAAGAACGCCATGTTCGACTTCTTCATAGTAGACCCAAAGTACAGAGGCTCTGGTGTTGGTACGTGACTTCTTTTGTCTTAGGCTCTTTTCTTGTGCTTTTAAGAAATTTAGCTATTAAGTACAGTATGGGTATATAACCTCTTTAAATCATTGCTTTGATTCAACTGTATAATATTACGCAGTGTTCTGTCTCATATTGCTATTTTTTCATTTATTTCTTTCATGTTAGTAAGCGCAACAGTTTACGCGCATATGTGGGCACATTCTTTAGTTGCAAATCATTATTTTATACAAAAAATGTTTCATTTTATCGTCATTAACTCACGCTTGTTTTTCAGTCGTGTTTCCAAAATAACAGAGAGAGGTTTTGAATTTAACATGAAAACATTCAAGGGATAATAACTTTTCATACGTAATTAAAAATTCCACAATACATATATTGTAAACAACACATAGTTCTAAATGCAATTAATTCCTTTTAACAGCCGAAACTGCGGTTATCGTAATTATTCTGCATTCTGTGCTTGCTATCGGATCACTTGGAACTTCACAGACGGCAACTCTCCGCAGCAATCTCTTAAGAAATCATAACAAATAACTCTGTTTAAAAAACAATTGACTCACTTGGAAAGCAGAAACAGATTCATTAACCATTGGAAAGTATTGGAAATCGTCGTTTACCCCAGGAAAATCCGTTTTATCGCACTTTTCTAGCTAGCCAAAATGATAAGTTGTTATCCCGATATGTAAGCAATATTCGATATTATTAATAACTTTGGCCAATTCCAGCGAAGAAAATTGCAGCAAGAACCATGGAAATTGCCGGCGACAGAAACGTCATGATTTGGTCTGTGTCCTACCGAATACAGCAGAACTTAAAAACCGGCATGAAAATTGGTGGAGGGCGCTTACATTTGTGCGAAGGTCGATTTGATATTGGTACCTTAAGGGTTGATACCACACTAAACGATTCAGCGATAAAAGTTGTCCCAACAAGTGAGGTTGACTTTGAAGCTCTGCTCGCCTACGACACCTCCATCATTGTATTTCAAAGAGAAAAGTTCTTGAAAGCGTGGCTGGCAAAACCGTCTGCCGCTTCATTCGCGGCATTAACAGATGGCGGCGAGGTCGTGGGTTATGGTCAGGTGCAAGATGCGCCGCGTTCGAAAGTAATTTCTCCGCTTTACGCCGATAATCCAGCAGCATTTAAGCTTCTTCTGAAAGCTCTTCTAGAATCCATTCCAATGGAATATAGTGTATATATGCTAATCAACGTGGATTATGGGGCCGGAATGGAAGTGATAAACATGAACAAGGGAACTGTAAAAGTTTTTCCTGACGAACCCGGAACCTTCATGTATACCAAGAGAAATTTGGAGATGCCTAAATTTGGAAATGTCTTTGCAGTAGCTTGCTGGGGCGCCTTTCCCGCATGATTGTCTAAAAATCAATTTACTAACCAATGGTATTTCTTTTTCCCCTATATGCTCATTTAGAAAAAGGTATTACTTTTCCTATATTGTTCCGGTGCATGAAGATGAACAAGGCGGAACAAATAGAACCTAAATGGAAATTTGCCACAAATGTAAGAGGTATAAGAAGATAGACTTGCTTTGCCCCATCGCGGGTATCAATATTGGCTACACGACGATTAAATGTTGCGCATTCCGACGAATGATAGTTGCACAAACATAGCAGCTAGTCCTACGGATACGTGCCTGCCGTAACGTTCTCTTGACTGTATTTTCAAGTAGAACACCGATTCATTTTCCGTTGAGAATATAAGACTGATTCACACTAGAGAACATACACAAGAAGCATTTAATGATTTTAGCTATCAATATCTCTTGTTTTATGATCAAAATTAATTTTATGTAATATCAAAGATTTGATTTTAAAAAATTACTTTATTAACTCTCAAAGGGCCATGTCGAAGATGGGTTTTACTTAACATGTTTTACCTTCTTCAAATAAAGCTTCTTCTTCTTATTTTTATTATTATTATTATCGCCGTGTGTTCCAAAATCCAAAAATTATGCTTTTTAGACCATTTTAAATTTCAATATTCCTATTCTTTTACGTCTTTGACCGGAAAGTTACTCTTTTTTATCTGCTCCTTACCCAAGTCAATATTGGGTATAAAGCGGAAACATTCCTGATTTTCATTTTTACTTCCTGGCAGTATGATGATGTTTTCAAGCACAACTACCAGCATTGATGATAAATAACATTGTGAAAAGCTTGGTCAACACTTGAAGTAACATGTAAAAATAATTAACATATCCCGTAAAATGTCAGTGTATGATCCCACTGTTGTGAGAAGTGACTTCAGTGGGACTGAACATGGCACAATATTTATATCTGTGTAACTTATTTACCTATCTATGTCTTATGTAATTGTCATTAATTGTAATTATCTATGTCATCAAACTGTAAACAGCTATGTAACTGTAGTTCTCCCTCCCTTTAAGTTTGAACATATCCTTTTGTGTAACATATGCTTGTACCCATATGTTTATAGTATGTTTATGGTAAATTTATAATCACACCAAGGTTTATCTCACTGCTTATTTAGAATATTTTATGAGTAATTTTACTAGTACATATGTTCATTATATAAAGATTATTTTTTTCATTCACAAACGGCTAGGCAACATAATTACCAACTAGAGAAATGGTAATGCACCAATTATATTGTATCGTCATTAGTATATCATTTTGTACAAGGTTATGACAATCTATGTACCAGTACAGAAATAGATTGAAAAAAATTGAAAATTGTAAAAATAATTGCTATTAGAAAATGTTTTATAATTCACAAACTGTCGTTTTGATATATCTTTAAACAGGACGCTTTAATATGTTTAAATGTAGCTATATACACGAGACACGATCTCTTACGAACATATAGTGCATATAGTACAATTTGTGAGTCATATAAGTACGATTTTTGTCTCTTAGTAGGCCTACATTCCGTTTCGTAAATATTAATTTTTACCAACTAGCATTTATAAGTGTTTTAGCCTGCTTTGAACAGTGATTCAAATGTTTGAACATCGGTATTGTCTGCAATTGCCCACAAAAGGAAAAGATCAATGAACTCTTGTGCATCTAAGGATTAGATAATGGCCCGTTTACTACGGCGATGATTTCTAAACGGCGCCCAAAGCTAAAATGTCCGCTGTTGTATATCAACCGTATGAATCAATTGTCTTTAAATTATCTTCTTCCTAAACTCCTGGTGTCGGATTTAAAATCAATAGGGCGCGGACGGTTTATCTATTGAGTCTATTAAGTAGATGCATTTGTGGATTTGTTGCGTGGATAGAGTAACAATGCCCGTGGATTACGACAGGTGCCCTCGGCAACATTACTACATGCTCGGGGGGAGGGGGGGGGGGGTTGGGGGAGTCAACCACGACGTTTCGGTCCACCACTTATGCCCGTTGGCCACGTGAATGGTAATTTCGCGCGGAATCCGACTCCTAGGAAACAAGACGCTGTGATAAAAATATCATTGACTAATGTTATTTAGTCTCTAAGTAAAGAATATTTCAATTTTGACAAATGCAGTGGTGGATTTAGAGGAAGGTCAAGGGGTTCCTGACTGCCCTTCGATTTCTGCTACACTCTTGAAATTAGAAAATTTTGACTAGCTGAATCATAGATCTAAACCGTACCAAATGGCACCGTTTGCCCTAAATACCAAAATCTTTCAGGGCTCTTCAGCCGGCCCCGAACCCCACGCCAAATGAGGGGGGGGGGGGGGGGGCATTGCACCCGCAGATCCCCCCTCCCCTTTAAATGATCTTGGATCCGCCCCTGAAATGGACGGGCGATCCAACAAATACCTCGCAGCTGAATCACAGTGACAATTGACACTGATTTGTATGGTGCAATTACCGGTCAAATGTCCGTGTGCCTGCTCGGACAAAGCCTCTGCTGGGGATTTCTATGCCTAATGCCCTGGGCAATTGTATGGTCAAGAGGAACAACACTGAAGCGTTTCAGATAACGATTCCGCAAGCATAATTGTCTGTCAGAGAGGTTTCCATCAGTGCGATGCGTGACACAAGGCGTGAATACAAGTGGTTACATAAATACTGGAGTCAAATCGATGTTACACTATTTTGCTGCATAAAATTTAGATGCATTTAGTCATACTTTACAGGCAAATCTGACTTCCTGAGATAGCCGAGCGTTTACTTATTCGGTCTATTCACACTGATAATAAGGAATTTAACGACTGAATTGCTTGGTGCTGTTAGACGGAATAACAAATTAAAACGGCGTAGGCATAAATCGCGCCCGAAAAAAAATCAAAATTATTACCTCCTTGTTTCAGTACTTTGCGACTGTGCTTTTTTATAATCAGCGATGTCTAATGATTCGAAAAATAGTTGCTTGATGGTGGTGAGGGAAGGGGGGGGGGGCGAGAGGAGTTCAGACAAAGTGTTACGTAACCACATTTGATTAATCGATTCGTGTGTATGGTTAGGTATTCTAGACTGAAAAACGATCCGGGTATGTCTGAACTTTCACCACACTTAATACTAACTGATTACGGCATAATTCTATATGCAAATGGCTCGGCATGGCCGTTGACGTTATAGACTATATGTTGCAGACTCGATGCATAAAAAAGTGTGGCATTATTTTCATAAAAAATGATTTAGCCAGCTAGATACATTACAAGACTCAAACAGATCGAGGAAAGATTCTCAGTGTTACGTGCTCGTTGGGATATTTTGTAAAAAGGATTTATACCTCTTTCAATTTAAGGGATACGTTTTGTGGTCCGTTTAGTGTAGAATATATCTTAAAGCGTTCTTCACAAACGTGGGTGACATATTCAGGATAGCAGTTATTCATGCGAGAAAGAAGAGACTACTAATTCAACGGAAGCCGGGTCTTCTAATGTTTTTTAATAATATTAGTTGCCGTTTTCATTGGCAAATCTCTGCGTTCTTGGAGTCTTCTCTAGCTCCCACTGAAACAGCGTTTGTCGCGTGAGGAATTCATTCACTTTTCAGTGCCTTTTTAAAACTAGACAACGGTGGATCGGCAAGGGCAGAGCGATATTAACAGAGTTTGAGAGGTTTAAAAAACGCAATTCGTGGACCAACACTAAACGGATTTCAGAGCTAAGGTATGGTGTGCAGTATTCTTGGCATATCATCTTGAACCACCGCAATTGACAATACATCGTATCAGTAGAGGGAAGATGAGGATAGATAAATGGTTTATTTAAGTGGCCTAGCTTCCCTGAAGTTTAAAGGTAAGTTTTAAATTCAAAACAATTAACGGTGTTATGTTACAAATATTTTAAAAACATTTTATGCGCCGACACGCAAACGTGCGTGCGCTCGAGCGCAAGGAATGATTTTTGGAGAGATCGTGTTATGGGATTGGTGCAAATTTTTTATCCACCAAATATTCTCTCTTTATATATAAACGCACGTGTGCGGAAAAAGACTTAATCAGCAGCTGTACTAACAGATTACAAGTGGAATTCACTGGCAATTTTTTCCGGTATAGCTCATTTGGACTAAAATCTTTTTTATCAAGCGATTACAGAAGATTAGCTAAAATGTTCCTGTACCACAATCAATACCATAAAGTAGTATGAAGTGTATCTGTATTGTTTTATAATGGATCTTATTTGTATTATTGAAATGTAAAGCAGGATGAGTGTTTTGCCCAAGCATATTTTTCAAGCATGGATCCAGGAATTCGATTACAAAAGCGTAACAGAGCCAACTGCTCGAATTCCAAAAACATACACTTATCGGGACTCATTATTAGTTTTTAAGCAACGTGAAGATACACTTAAGCCTAAAACTTCGTAGGAACAGGGCATAATACAGTATAACAATTTGCTTAGTCCCTTTGTTATGTAATCGGCATTTTCAACATTTCACAAATTAAAAGACAATCGTTATTTTCCACAGAAGTCAAGTGAAGGATATAAGGACTAGTATATGGGTATATATGGACTGGAAAGGCGGAGGCACCAAATAATATGGAAAAGATGACAGGTAAGGAACACTTTGTTTGCCCTTAATATTCCACCAGATTAGCCTTACATGTAGAACTAATTATATGATAGATAGGCTAACCGTTTTTAGTGACATTTTTTAATTATTTGACTTTTTACGATATCGAAAAATTAATTTTGCATATAACATTGGTTTTAAATAGGCTTATTTCTAAATCTTTCGTTATGTCTTACTTGTGACCGTGTATAATTGCCTCTTTAGGTATCTTTTTTGTGTTGTTAATTCTGCTAAACATTTACGTATTTTAGACTCTTAATAAGTATATTGTAATATAAAATGTATATTTCATTTCCTTGACATAGTGACCCCGTTACGGTTTAAGGAGCGAAACTTAACAAAACATGGCGGTTCCCCAACCTTTTGTACCACATGTTATTATTCTAGTGGATTGCTTTATAAATAAAATGATGTCGACCAAATTGAAAGGGGGGGGGGGTATCCTTGTGCTTCTTCCTAAGCGAAATTTTGCATCCGCCAGCGTTATGTGCCATGATGAGACGGGCCTTCACCCCGA